CGGGGGGGGGGGCGGCGGCGGGGCAAAGAGGAGTAGTACACATAGTGCGCTGGTTGTGTCGAGGTGTGGAGGGAGAGAACATCTACAATGCACCCGACATGCACACGCATGCACACATACACACACACATTCGAGAACGAATTCACGAACTTCGGTCGGCTCTCTCGTAGTCCACCCTCTCTCTCTCACCCACCCACCCACCCACCCTCCCTCCCTCCCTCCTATCCTCCCGCCGTGGGAAGCCTCTTCCCCAGCGTCACTCAGCGGGGCACGTTGTCTCTCTCCATCTCCCTCCTCAAACTCCCCCCCCCTCCCTCCTCCTCCCCCGATCCTCCCCGGTCATGTGTGTTTATACCGCACTTTATGGTACATACGTACGTACGTATATGTATAGATCGCTCTCGTGACGAGCGTAACGCGAGAACCTCTCTCACGCATACGCGCGAGTCCTTCGTACGGCGCGCGCCGTAGAAAGTACATAAACCGTCCTCATTCACGTCGATATCGTCAACTGTTGCTTCCTCCGTCGTCGCGTCTGTGGGTAAACCACCGACGCCGCGTGTGTCCCGCGTGTTAAGGCGGGCTCGCTCAAGAGAGGCACGCGACTCTCCGAACGTGGGGAGGGAGGAAGCCGACAACGACCGTATTAAACTACCCCCGCTGCGTGGAAAGGTCCTATCTGTGGAAATACGCCCAAGAGCGTCCCTGGGTCCTTCGCCTTGTCGAATAATGAGATTTTTCGAAATATCATGTTGGCAGCAGACACACATCTCTTTAGCTGACCGCAAGGACAAATAGATCGTAAATCATTGTAACACAATAAGTCAAACGCAAACTCGCAATTTTTCTTGTTGTTGACAGTAGACAAAAGTCACTGGCACCTGCCACGTGTCCTGGCCACGAGTCCAGGCGAGCAGCAGGTGCCATTGTATCTCGGAGGCACCCCCGCCGCCATAGGCTGATTCCTGCTAGCCATTAACTGGCGGTGGGCGTGAAATTCACCCGTACAAAAGGCTCGCGGCGCGCTCTCGTTAATGGAGAGGGAAGAAAACGGGGCCGCGAAACTCTCCGTTCACATCTCATTCTCTCTCTCTCTCTCT